TGCCAACAAGGTCTAATACAATTTCATGTACTATTTTTTATATAATTAAATTAAAAACTTGAGTGAGAAATTATAATTAAGTTTATGTTTTCTTATTAAAATGTGAATTTTTTAAATGGGAAGAGATATTGCGTTTGTCAAGTAAAAAGCATGAATGCTATAAATTATCAACAATTTTCAATAATTGTTAATGTAGACTAACCTTTTATTGATTAATATTAAATAAATACATTAAATTTATATTTAAAAATAATTTAGTGAAAAATTATTTATGGCTACTAAATAATTATCACTAAAAATTATTTTTGTTATGCTGATTAGAAGAAAAATGACTGATAGTTATTATACATTAGTTCACTACAATAGCAAAGTTACAAATAGTATAGAAGAACTTACTTTTAGTAATGTTCAACTGATCTGCATTGTTATACATCTTACCATTCAATTTTTTATAGTTGCAATGCAGTATATTACAACATTTAAGCCATGAAAATAACAAGTAGATAATAAAGATGTTGTACAAGTTTCCTGTAGCAATTGGACAAGGCAATATCAAGTATACAAGCTATCCAATTTACAATGATAAGGATGTGAGTATGATGTTTAATTTTCAAGAATTTTTAAAGATTTGCATAATGAAAATATTTATAACTCTAAAAGAATGTCAATTTACCTTTGCATGTTCAAATCCTCAAGAATTAGTTGTTAGAGTCTCTTACTCCCTAATTTATCAACTTGTCATAAATAACTAAAGGTTGAAGAGAAATTTTTGGTGATATTGTGGCAAGTCTAAGCTTTGCACAACTTCCTCAATCGTTTAACGATGAACCTATTGCCAATTTCAATTGTTCAAAATTCATTGAGTATGAGAAAGATGTGGAAGAAAAGCAATTTGATAGGCTTGTACCAAATAAGAGTGTGGAAGATTTGATGAGAAGATAGAAGAGATTAGTTAGACATGATCATTAATGTCACAATCTAATAAATTTGTATTTTGACATGTTTATATAGCCTATATATTCATGAGTGACTATTATTTTATCAAGTTTTTTTACTAATTTCTATGATTATTATGTAGTTTACTGCGAGAAGTCACTACTAGATTTTCTTGGCACAAATTTGATGAAAAATTGGGCTCCGCAGCAGCCAACACACCTATACCATTGCAGCTAGCATGGGAGTGCTTCAAGAACATGCACAAGCATGCTTATGTTATTGCACAATTGTGTTTACCTGCGAAAAGTCTAACTTTGAAGCAATTTTAGGATTTTTAAACTCTATTAAAGGAACCCAAGGGAAGCGACTTAAGGATACTTTTTGGATTATCTTTTTGATACCATCCTTTCCACTCCTTTTACATATTTCTTTCACATCTTCAATCTTGATGATAGCCAGTTGTAACATCCTACTTTTTAAATTCTAGAAAATAAATAATAATTTATTGTAAACCAACTGAACAAATAGATTCATAATTAAAACTAGTGATTTAAATATTTAGAAATTTGCAAGTCGAAAGAATAAATTGATTTTTTTTTGTCACAATCGAGTATTTTCAATATGTGAGAAATCAAAACTTTTATCATTCGAACATATTTACAATGAAAATGAAACAATAACAGAATCAAAATCTAACTATAATTTAATAATACCAAAATAATATACAGTTCAGAGCTACTGAATTTAAGTTGTATACATGTATAAGCATACTTTTACAAACTATCAACTAATATATATATGTGTGATTTAGAGTACTTAATTACAAAATTATCATAAACAAAATTTCCAAGAGCAGTTCTGATCCATGCCCAAACACTGAGAGTTTGTTCCTGATCATCATTCCTGTTACCTGAAATATTTTGTAAGGATGAGTTCTTTTCTCATCATTAAAACATAACAAGTACAATTTGTATATTAGAAAATATATTTTTACAACTCATTTAACAGAAATGTATACATTAATCTCTAAAATAATATTCATATCATACTCACATAAATTAATAAAATATCAGTCATTAATTATGTTCCAAATACATCAACACCTTTTTGCATATCAATAACATATTCAATTTACTTCAACTTCAATTCAACCATTTTCTCATACAATGTTATCACATTTCATAGTTGCCTCCAGCATTTATGAGGTCTTACACAATAGGTGAATAGCTGTCGGTTAACCCATGCATACGGATACAATGTACACACTTATAGGACCCCTTAGCAAAAGTATAATCAAGAGTATTATTGGAAAAGAGTGTGGTCATATGGTGCATTCTCAAATTTATAAATTGTGCACACTTAAGCGAATATCATCCATCACCTTACGTTTCCTCCAAATTCCATAATCAGCTCCCTATTCCATACTCCGAGTGTATCGCTGTAACTATTCACACTAATTCCTTTCTCATAAATTAATATACCATTCACATATCAACATGTTGCAATACATATATTATGATCATATAATTCAATGTATTACGATACATATATTGTGAATACACCCGTCAACGTGTCACAATACCTATATCATAATCACATCAATTAATTGGCTACTACTCACGTATTGTAAACACATATCTCAACTTCACAATCTTATCAAAAATCCACACTTCCATATTCATATCCATTCAAATATTTTCACAATAATGCATATTATACATAAACTCTTCAAGCATACTATTCATCATTTAACCGTTTACACGTATACTCAACTTTTAATCAAATTCAACAACCACACCATCATACCATTTGCACATATAATCCAACTATCAATTAAACAATTTTGCCAAAGATCGAATATCTCTGGACTCAACCCAAGTCGAATAATACAACCAATTATATTTCATATTATCTCAAAATAATCAATTATCATCAACTGAACTTCTTAAGGTCAGAGAAATATACATTATTAACCTATCATAATACTTAAAATTTTCATCAATATATATATATATATATATATATATATATATATATATATTCACAATAAAAAGAAACACTACTGGGGTTTCAAGAGTATAAATATTGCTATGTTCTAATGATAGAATTGAACTCTCCTTACCTCGATATGAAGATATAGAGGGAGTTTGATGAAGAAGATCCTTTAAAAAGAGAATTCTTCCTAAATAATATGAGATAACCTATAAAAATAGAACTTGAACAGAAACGAACGGTAAATCCAAAGTTAAACTCAAAGAAACATACTTAGAGTTGCTTAGATTGAGGGTCCAAACTTGGATTCGGCTAATAATCAAAGTTTTAAGGAGATTTTTCGAAGAAAAGAGAGTGTGAATCCAGAGAGAATGAGAGAAATCAAAACGTGAATTAAGTGAAATGAAATATTTCACTCTGAAAATTCCTTAAATAACCCTCTGTTCGTATGCTCTCGCTTGAGCGAGAAGTACCTCACTTGAGTAAGACACATCTCGCCTAAGCGAAATATGTAAACAGCGGCTCCTTACGCATTTTCTGATATTCTCCCTTAAGCGAGCAGCGTGTCCAAAGAGTTCCAAATTCTTCCTACGGCTCCTCACTTGGGCAAGTTCCATCTCGCCAGAGTAAGGGTGACAGTTCAGGTGACCTGATTTATTCTCGCTTGAACAAGAATGGTCCAAAAAAGAGATGATCATGGGCGTGCAATCTTGCCTGAGTGAGGTATGTCTCGCTTGAGCGAGATTTTCCCTGCACCAGAACTCTACTAAACACTTAAAATTCTTCTTAACACCCTCCAACATTATTTAGCATCACTTAATAATCCATAATTAACATTATCTAAAAATGAAGATGTTACAATTCTCTCACCCTTTAAGAAATTTTGTCCCCAAAATTCACTTATTAGGGAAAATAAGGTATGTTGCCCTCACGTTATTTCCAAGACCTCATATAATACTTTCTTTATCATTTATAATCCATATCATCCTTTATCAACAAGATCTCTTTCAACTTCTTACTCTTGTGCTTAAAGGTACAATTATCAGTATGTTTATGAACCTTTGAAGTTACAACACTATTCCTATTATTACCATTTTTATCAGCAAGGAGTTTTACACCCTTAGGTTTCATACCTCTAGGCTCTTAAGAGTATAAAACAACACGCCACTCGTAGCATTAGCACTCTTAGCAATAGAGAGTTTTGCTTTTGTACCGTGTTGTATATCTGTATCTAAATACACATTGACTTCTTCGATACTGTTCACATCGCTTTACTATTAATGCCAGATTTACTGTTCACCTTTTAAGAAAAACAATAATTTCAGACTACATCTAAATCTATTCTAATACTAAATAATCTTTCAATTAATATTTAACAATTACAAAACATGATAGATTATTCAATAATAAATTATAGACTTGACAACATTAATTATTTTCAACTTTCTTTAAATAATAGTTGTAATAAGTGTTTGTTTTTATATATGTATTGTTTGTTTAATATCAAGATGTGTTAATCATGAGCATAGTCGTGCTTAAGTATAAATTACACAAAAGATAATTTGACTTGTGTGTAATTAAAAAATAGCATTGACTTGCTTATTGAATAAAATATATTTCAAATTTTATAAAAAGAAAAAATATTTGAAGTTTTGCATTTATTTTATTTTTAAAAAATTTTATTTTAAAAAATCATAAGGTAGAAATGAAATATTTTATAAAACATTTGTGATATATATATATATATATATATATAAAATCACAAATGATAAAAAAAAGAAGATAAACGAGATATTAAATAAATGTTCATTATACATGAATCATAGTTAAAAAAATTGCGATAATAATTTTTTAAAACTGTAGGGACCATTCCCTCTGTCACAAAAAGGTCATGATCATTCCCTGAGAACAGGGAAAAGTCTTAGCCGAAGTTCCATGTGAACAGAAAAGTCAGAGGATACAAAACCCAAATATTCCAAAACTCCATAAAAGAAAAAAAAGTTACACTCAGTTTGCTTAAAAATTTCAATTCCTATGAACACACAAGACAGTTTTGAATCATAGTCTATGATCTATCTGAAAGGAGCAAGTGGGTTTGGGCTACGAGGAGTTTTAGACCTTCTAAGTTCTTTACACACATTATCTAACATGCCCAGAAAATCTCTCACAATCACAAAGATCCTAAGTGGATTTGCATCTTCCTTGCTCACATCCCCATGAAAATACTCAGTAATCTCTTTCACACGTGCCAACACTCTCTCTTCATCTCCTTGCAACTCCCTCAGGTTCCCATCTGCATAGTTCAAGAATGACTTCAAAGAGTGTACAAAGTTGATGCTTCTTTCATCCTTATGCAACTCCTTGTCCAATAGATGTTGCAGCTTAGCCATTCCTTCTGAAAGGTTTGACACAGAGCTTGCAAGAACATCCAAGTCAATAGTAGCTGTCTTTTTCACATTGTATAACTCAGTGCTAAGACCAGAAACCAGTTCTAATCCCATCCTTTTGTAATCTTCTTCCTTTTCTTCCTCAGTTCTGTTCTTACTTTTCTGGCTTATTTTTCCCATAATGCTATCTGAAACTCTTATTCCTTCTGAACGAACAATCTCTTGAACAACAAAATGAAGCAACGTAGTTTTACCATCAGTTCCCTTAACATCTGCAAGTTTTAGAAGAGCATCTAGCTTAAAAGCTCTAGCACCTCCTCTTATTGTTCCAACATTCATTCGGTTCCCTGTTTTGAGCACTGCTTCTAATAACTTCAAGAAGAGCCTGCTCGATTTTAGTTCCTTGCATGCCTCCTAATAGCGATTGAGACATAAGAAAATGTCAGAAATCATAAAGCTTAATTAGACTTTCAACGGGACATATTTCGATTAACTACTTTTTTTTTTAAATAAGAAATAATCACTTATTTTTTATCATTTTTCTTTAAAAAAACTTGTTAAAACAAAAATATTAGCAAGTATCTTAAGGGAAGTTATTAAAAAATTAAAAAAAATATATTGAAAAAAAAAAAACACTCACTCTATATTTTTCAAAATATATAAATTTTTTTTATAAATTTCTGTATAACTATTTTATCATGCCCTTTTAAAAAATAAAGGATTATTTCTCTAAAAATAATAGTTTCTACACAAGCACTAAAAATAAATAAATAAATAAATAAGTTGGTTTGGTGGCTACCTCAAGCATTGAAAATGAGTTTCTGAGGTGAACAACTTCATCATCAAAGGTTTCTCTGAAAAGCATGCCTTCCACCCGTTGAAACGCAAATGGAACGTTGAGCATTGCCCTCACAAACCTTTCGGCGGACCCCAATTCATTGATGTCGCCTTTATAATTGGAGAGCTTGGACTCTTCTTCTTTGGTGGGTACCATTTTAACTAGTGCCTCCAGTTGTTGCAAAGACAACCCCTTCCCTGGTTTTCAAAACCATTTAATAAGATCTTCGACAACATTTATTTTAACCATCAATTTTTTTCAGCACACGGTATAAATGCACATGCATACTCCCATGCTATATGAATAAAAAAAAAAGTCGGTGTGCGATTTTACTTAGTAGGACACATATCAGAAATGATTATTACATTATTACCTTTTAAGAGATAACTTATGTCATGAGTATGGGACAATTACCATTTTGTATTATTTCCATCATACTTATGACCAATGCGCTTTGGACATAGGATTTTGGAATGTTTCATACAGTAGTTTTACCTCTAGTTTAGGCATTTATTCATAATTGAGGAGTTCTACCTTGCATTAAGGCCTCGCATACATGCTCAGATGTCGCATTCAGGGCCTTTGAGAGTATTGTTATGTTCTGCAGCCGTTTTGGCTCAAGCACATGCTTGCTTGGAGACGGGGTTTTACTCCTTGTTTCGTCATTCTTAATTGAATTTTGTAAATTGTAGCCAAAAAGTGACTCGATCATTTCCTCATCCAACCTGAATAAAATTCAAAATGTGCTTAAACTTAATAAAAAGAAAAGAAAAATATTAGTATTTTTTGCGATTGAAGTTGAACTTACTCGAATGAGCTTGATCGTAGCTTATCCCAAACCATTGTACGATTGGGAGCAGCTCTTACTTTGTCCCAGTGAAGTGGTTTGAGTTTGGGCAATGGTGCACCATCTTTACCTAGTGGGGTAAATTGAGGGAGTTGAGATGGTGGAGGAGGTGGGGTTTTGGCACTGTTGTTATTACCTTTTAGAAATGGAGGTGGGTATGGTGGTGGGGGAATGTTGGAAGGAGATTTTGTAGGGTAAGGTTCAGCTGGGGAAACCAACTCTTTCTCTGGACTTTGATTTAAGCCTGAGAAAGTGTCTGAATTTACCGGAGATGATAAATTATTAGATGTTAAAGAGAGTGGAGAGTGAGAGGAAACTCTAGATGAAGAAGTGAGAGAATGCAAAGAAAAAAGTGGCATTTGCAATGGCGGTGGAGGTGGGGGTGGAAGGGGTGGAGGAGGGGGAGGGAAAGAAGTAGAGGCTTTTGAACATTGGAAAGACGACTCAATTTCTTGCTCATATTGTTTTGGACTATGTGGTGTTTGCTGAGACTGTGTATTTGAGATTGAGTTTTGGGGAGTACAAGGAAATTGGTTTGCTAAGGAACTTGAATTTTGTGGGGACAAAGAAAGGGTGTCACTAAGGCTACCAGCTGAAGCATTGGAAAGTCTTATATTTGATTGTGAATCTTCAACAACGGAATGAAAACTTTCATCATCTGATGAATGACAATCTTCAGGGATAGTTTTATCCCCAGAAGAAGGGTTGCCATTACCAGATTCAGCTTCACCTTTCGCTGATTCCACATCTTCATGAACAGATACAATTTCCTTCGTGGAAGAACTGCTAAAGTTGTCATACTCTGAACCATCCTTGCAAGTCTTTTTCAAGGTGCAAGCGTGTTGCTCTATGTCCTCACCTAAAACATTAAGATAAAACAGATCTAGTCCTGAGTTTAAACTCACCTTGCTTGATGAATTTTGGTAAGTGTCTCCACTTCCTTTGCTCTTGCTACATAGTGGCATTGTCCTTTTGGGCTTCTTTGTGTGGTTTGTGAATTTCCTGCAGACCAAGATTAACCCACAAGCACCAATTAATGTGGCAATTCCCGCGGATACAAGAACAGCTATTAGTATTCTTTTAGCCCTGCCTCTATCTTCATGATGAGTTTGGTTGAGTGGTGGATTCTTAGGAGGGTGATGTATTGGATGATGAAGATGAGGGTGCACGTGTGGAACCGGAGAAGGAGAAGGAGTTGGAGCCTCAGCTTCGATGTTGGGTGATGGAGAAGGTGAGGGAGAGAGAAACTCAGCATGGCCATTGGATGGTACCCTTGTGTGGAAACTCTCGAGTCCAAGTAAAGATCTAAACTTTTCCACTATGAAAGCTTGTTTCTCTTCATTCTCATCAAGTCCTGAGATTTTCTTAATCTGGTTATCATTTTGTTGTTCATTCTTCTCCATGATATACATCTCTGGTAGGCCATGAACGTGGAAGGTTCCAGCTGCATTGAATGGAGAACCACCAAGGGTCAAAATGTGGGTTCTTTGTGAGGATAGAAGAATCAAGAGGGTGATGATGAAGATCATGGTAAGATGCTCATAACTACAGCCCATTTTCTTTTTCTTCCAACTAAAAGTCATCAAGACATCAATGCAGTTTTCCTCTTATAAAAGGTTTTTTTTTTTTTTCCTTTGTTCCATTAGTTTGTCAAGGGAAAAAGAATTGTCATTTGGGTGGTGCCGGTGATGTGTGAGGAAGATCTGGAACAGTGTCTTTAATGCTACTCCAAGGAACCCCTGAACCTGGCAGTTGTGGTTGTACTGGTCCTTCTTTACTTCCCTGTTCATACACTCTTATCTCTTCATAACATAATCAATTCCACCCTACAAAGACACTGTTAATGCATAACACTGTTTGGGAAAATCTTTCCCTCCTTCGACTTTGACTTAATTCTTTGTCTCATATGCTTTTCTAAGCTGTTTTGTCAGAAAAGTAATGTTAGTGGGTAAGTGGGTTTTCTCCCGCTCGTTGTGATCAAAACACTCGATCTTCCTCGTCCTTTTAGCGTTAAGTTGAGGATTCAAAAGCTTTAAGTGTCTGAGAATTGAGACATGATCTTTGAATTTGGATAAAACTTTTAGTAGCTAAAAAGTCACCTAATCAAAACTATGTAAAAGTAGATAGTGGGTCCCGTTTTGTTGGGCTTGCCTAACGCTATACGGGTGATTCTATAAGATTTCTCCAACCCATTATTACAAAAAAAAGAAACAAGGTGGGGGACACACAAATAGCCCCTCAGGCCCTCCCCTTCTGATTTATACTTTCTGTAAATGGGTATTGAACATTGGAAACTTTATGCAAGATTCACTATACTATAATAAATATAAACTTTTAGATTCACCTAATTAAATATGCTAATTACACAAACTTTTTCTCAACATATCACGTGAAGACATGTATGAGCGATTAAAGCAATGCGTTGATTAGTTTAAAAAGGAGATGCTACAGAGACTAATAGTCTTCTACCCAGAGGTTTTTTTATTGGTTATTCACTCTCAAGTGTGTTTCTGTCAACCTTGTGGTTCAAAGTAGATATGTATCCACGACTTGTTTGGAAGGATGTTGATGAATTTTTCATAAAATAGATTAGCTTTCTTTGTCCTCACATGAATAACTTGTCTCAGTCATAAGCACTAACCAGAAGGAAAGAAAGTTTGGTCAAAACAACAAACAGCGTACATGTCTGAGCTAACCAAACCACGGAGAATGCTCTGGTCTTGACACCTGCTTCCAAAACCTGCAATGTGTCGCCTTCACGTCTCTTTTGTAGCCATAGAGTTCAAGAAGATAAATCAACTGTTCCTGGGTCTAAACTGACTTCGTGATATTTTAATCAGATAAATTTTAAAAGCTAAAAATTATATTTAAAATATTGTATAAATATTTTTATAAATCTAATAATTTTGAATTTACTTTTATAAAAATATTAAAATAATTTCTTAATTATTTTAATAAAATTTAAATTGTAAACATTTATCTAATAAAAAATTTAAAAATAAATATTTAATTAAATTATTTTTCTGAATGCACGTACTTCCTAATTTTATAATTTTTTATTAAGATTTTATTAATTGGTATTTTTTTAAAATTTTAATTAAAAATAAAAATAAAAATATTAAAATGTATTAAAAAATAAAACAAATATGTTTTTATTTTTTAACAAAAAATTTAAAGATACTCATTAATATTTATACTTTTATTTTTATAATTTTATTTATAAAAAATAACTACTAACATTTTTTAAAATTATAAAAATTTAATATCTATATTTAAATGTATTAATTATTAAATTTTTAATATTTTAATTTATCATGAGATTTATATTAATGAATAAATTATCAAGTTAAATATTTATTATTATAAATATTTTTAAAATATATTATAAATTTAATGATGTATAACTATTTTATATTATTTTAATAAATTATTTATTTATTTCTTATAAAAACATAAAAAAGAATCTTATGATAGTATCACAACCTTTTTTAATGAACATAGCTTCATCTTATTTAGTCTTTTTTACATTTACATCCAATTTTTCCTTTAAAGACTTTATTTAAAAAATAGTTTTTTTAAAAATTTTAAATAAAGAGAATAAAAGCATGCTTAATTTCTGTTTTAAAAACAATTGTTTTATTTTAAAAATAAAATTTAATACAAATTTATATTATATTATATTATATTTTTAAAAACATAAAACCATTTTTAAAACAAAAGTCAAACATACTCTAAATTTCATAAACCATTTAAGATCTTCTTTTAAGTTTATAATTTAAAATTTTTTAAATTATATTTTCCCTTCTTCAAATTTTTTCTTCCATTCTCTCCCAAACTTTTAAATAAAGCGATGCCTTGCACAACCCTAAAGCACACCAAGACCAAGGCATCATAATCATACTACTGAGGATGGGAACGTCGTATTAGCATTGAAAGAACCATTACGCAAAAGCTTAAAACAAGCTATTTACAATAAAATAGAATGGAAGCTAAAATAACATAGCAAAATTCAAATGCTCAAATTGTAACATATTTTTTTTGTAAAAATTCTTAGGTAGAACCGAACAACAAAATAAGTAGGATTTTTACTCCCTTGTTTTCACAAATAGAACAATAATTTTAACGAGAGGAAAGTCCCATAATGTGGTGAAGCTTCAAATGGTACATAATTGAAGGCCGACAATAAAGAATATTGCAAACATAGGCAGAGTATTTAGGACAAGAAACAAGGAGACGAAGCAAATGAGAAAAACAAATAAAGAAAAAAGAATCCAATGCAAAATTTTGTCAGAAATTAATTAATATAAGAGAAAGTAGTAAACTAATTCAACTTTAAAGCCCATTATGCTTCATCATCCTCCTTTTGCTTCTTCGTCGTCTTCTTCTCATTATATTCTGCTTTGTTGAATTATTTATCTCCCACTACGTTTTTTGTTTCTTTGATTATTCTACTATAATTTCCCCATCTTTCCCAAAAATAATCAAATAAAATTTACCGACAACTGAACGTTACAGCTAATTACAAATTGAAAATAAATGCACGGAAGAAGAAAATTGAAAGCAAGTTGAGTTTTTTCTTTATTTTTATACATGCGCAGCTTAGAAATATACTCATAAAATTGAAAAAAATGATATATTGTTATTAATATGAAACTGTGTTAAAAAAATATTTTTCTTTTTTTTTGTCGTGAAAAAATATTTTGTTCCCCTTTAATGATTTATAAAGATGGGTTGGACCTTGTTTTTCATTACTTATGTCAGCTGGGCTTTGATTGCATAACCCGCTAAAGACTAAAAAATAGGTACAAATTGAATGGGCCTTAAAATATGCTATATGAAAAATGGGAAATGGGAAAAAGTGAAAATTCCAAAAGATGAAAACCAACGCAAGCAATAGATGAATAGAAAGACAAATAAGGACTAATTCCTAAATGACAAGCTACAACCAAGGATGGGACCGAATGTAGTATCCAACCGCGTGTGTGAATAAATAAAATTATCAAAAGAACTTAGTATAATATAAAATATTAATTTTGATTTTTTTCAAAACTTGAATTATAAAATTACTTAGTATATTTTTATTATTGAAGGAATTTTATATTTTAGTATATAATAATATCTTTTAAATGGTCTAAAGTAATATTTATATACATAATTTTAAATTAAATAATGTCACCAAGAAATTAACAATAGATAATACATCAAATTCATGATTTAATAAGTTAAATTAATAGTAATTTTTAAGAATTTAATTGAAATGCACTAACAATATAAAAAATTTTAAACTGTCATACAATCATGAATTGTTATTTCAGCAATAATTTTTAATTTAAACAATAATTAATATAGAAATTATATTTGATTATACAAATTTTTTATACTAATTATGTTTCAAAATAAATCATTTTAAAAATATATAAATTTAAATTTATCAGATGTTGAAGCTACTATCTCATTTTGTCATCACTCTCGTATGTGTGTGAATATATAAATAAATAATTTATTGTATAATTATATAAATAGTTAAAATATAAAATTATGTTAACAATTATATTATTATTATTTAAAAATATCATATGAATTTAGATTTTAATATTTATATACTTATACAAATATAGGATTCTTGTAATCAATTATTGAATTAACAAATTTATATATTATTTATATTTTTTTTTATCATGTATAATCATTAGGTGTTAATAGTATTAATATGAATGGTTGACGATCATAAAATAAAAAAAAAGAGATTTGAATTAAACTAAAAATAAACATAAAGAGTATAAATATAAAATCATAAACCATAAGTTCATTAAGAATAGTTTTTTATTAGAAGTTGCATTATTTTCTTTATCTTTTGCTTATTTTTTCTTTATTTTTATTACATACTATTTAACTTAAAATAATTAAATTATGATAGTCTTGATAATTAGAATTAATCTTTTGTGAGATAATATTCTAATAATTTAATTTGAAAACCTTTTTTATTGCTATTCGATAAATATACTTATCCACAAATATCTACCATATTAGAGAAGTAGATTAAGAAAAAATCAAATCTAACATAATTATTTCTTCATTCCCCTTAAATATACTTTATTTTTTATTCCAAATATTTTAAACTTACTTTCTTCTAGAAATTTAACTATTAACGTATATTTCTAAAGATCACACTATATGATTTGTAGTCATCAAAAGAAACCTCACAATGAAATATTATCATCCAATTGCTCCTTAATATCTCATTAATCTATGTACTTTGTTTCTTTAGCTCTCCTTTCGTGAACACCATGTCAATACTTCTCTGAGAATGAGAATATTCTCATACGAGAACTTTGCTTTGAATGATGTGATATTTTCAATTTTTTTCCTCATTTTTATTTATTTTCTTTGTCTTTTTCATGCTCTGATTTTTCAAATCATCGACAAGCTTTAAATGTTTACCTCCATTCTTACGTATATACTTTTTCGCATAGAGGAATATGATTTCTTAAGAGAAAATCCTTCTTTCACACTGTCTATCACATTAAACCAACTAAAATGTAAAAAAAATAATAAT